TACCAATGACGTGAGACCTCGTGTCTCTTCTATACAATGTTCTGAATTTTAAGTTGGGTCTATTTGCAGATGAACCTGGTTGATTGGTGTCAACGTAAGGTGTCTCCAACTTTGTTAATGTATTTTGTGCATCCTATCTGAATCAAGGCATACTGCCCTGGGCATCGTCTCGGGAACATTAGACTATTAATTTGAGTGTGGGGTGGAGTTTATTGATATGTGATATCATTTAAACGAAGGCTTGGGACATTTCCAGTATAAATCAGGTGAATTAGTGCCACCGAATTAGTCAACGCAGAAAGTATACATTTAGAGTAATAGAAAGTTTTCACGACAGAGACAGATCACTTTGCCCAGCGGGTCTTGCCACCTGAAAACAGAGCATTCCAGCCTACACCCACGTTATAGCTTATAGTCTGTAACCCTGCGGGTTACCGCCCTTGAAATATATATCCAAATATATTTGAAATGCTTTGAGTGTTCTTGCTTTTACTACCCTTTCAGGGCATGAACTATTTGCGTCTTCCCGGTCACTGCTGACAATCACTTACATCTAAACACCCTATTTGCTGAGACTCCCCCCCAAGCTAAACAATTTTTACCATTTGTTTTATACACTCTGCAACAGCTGTATGCTTCCCAAGAAAGATAAAATATCTTCTCAACCTCCTGTGTTCCAACATGAATAGTTCAAGCCAAGTTAGAAATTCTTGATGGCTCTATCTTCCATTCCGAGCAGGATCCTTGTGTGTGTGTCTATGTGTGTGTGTGTGTGTGTGTGTGTGTGTGTATGTGTGTGTGTTCACGGGTATACCTGGATCGGGATCTGAATTTATCCCAGTTGCGATTGTTCCGTTTTTCATTGATGTTAACTGATATCACATCAACTGCTCCTTCACCAGGAACTGTGGAAACGACTCTTCGTTCCCGAGTATTCATGTAAAAATATGATAAACATAGTGCAAAGATAATGAGCAGTCATTACAGTTATAAAATTGTGCAGGGTCTAATCAATTGTCAACAAACACATGATCTTCAATGCTATAATCGTCGGATGAAAAGGGAAGTAGGGGCATTCTCTGCTTGTCATGAACAGGTGGTGCAGCCCTGGCGAGCTGAACGGCCGTTTATAAACTTTGTTTCTCGAGTCATTTAATTATTCTTGAATTACTTATCAAAGTTTAGCTGACATGGAAGTTAATGCTCGTACGTTCCCCAGACATGCCAGCGGTAACAGCCTTCATTCAGCCAAGATCTGTAACGCGAGTTAAGAAAGTTTAAAACATATACCATTTTTTGCCATATTATTGACAACCAGGTTTTCACAAAGAGGAAAAATAAAGAGAGGCGGCAGGGAGGGTGTTCACTGTTCCCTGGCGTTTCCTTGCGTTTATGAGCAACAGGTGTATCTGCGAAGCATATTCAGTGCGATAATGCCGGTATTTCAATCGACACCGTGTACACAACTATCTCCCATAATTCAACACTGACATGGTCATCTATTTTTGTGATGGTGTTTGAAGCAAAATAAAATTGAAAAATACAGCAGGGACAACTCCCTTTCAATTCTTTGAAATAGTGTTAAGGGATGCGATCAGTGAAACTGGGATGGCAGAAGGAGCTTTAGTTTAACTTCACAAGAGAATGTGAGGGAACAGAGCAACCGTTGGAAACCCAGATAATCACTGTCATTACATATATGCATCAAGAGGACATAAATAATTTGAGCTCTAGACATTCAACGGCTGAACTGTAGCTGCGGATGTATTGATAATTCAGATTGTCTCTGCTTCTCCTTGGAACTGCATTTGTACTTTCTTCCCCATGTGAACGTGGCCTTGAAAACATCACGAGATTAGATCTATTTTTCTGCGAATTCCACGATAAAAATCAAAACATACAATAAATCACCCATAATTTTAAAGTATTTAAAATGAATTATGAGAAGAAAACGGTTTATCACCTTTAACAAAAGATTGATTATTATCAAACCATGGATTGGAGATCAAAGATTAGGATTCATCAAACAATTTGGACTGGTGGTAATGTTGGCAATTATTAATCGAGCTAGAGACACAAATTAGATACAAGCAACCAATGGTCTTAGAAAATGGAGAGATATGGAACTCTGAGTAGACTGAAACCACGCATGATAAAGGAAATTCTAATTTCTTACTGATAATTGGAATCACGAAAATATGGAGAAGAGTCAGTTGACTTGTAATATGGCGGACTGTGGAATATTGATGGATCCGGAAATGTGTTTTTACTCCTATTTCGGACCGTCTATACATTGTTGGAGAAAAAAATTATTGCTAATATATGCCCTTTGAGGACAAACTGAAACTGCACACACTAGTTTAATAATCACAGCATCTCTTCAGTATGGAAGCAGACCATTCGACCCGCCTTGTCCACATCGACCCTCCAAAGATCATCAAACCAGATCCACTCCCCTGACGTATTGCTATAAGACACAGGAGGGCTGAGTTACAAGGAGAGGCTAGATAGACTGGAACGTTCTTCCCACTGGAGTGTACGAGATTGAGGGATGAACTTATAGAGATTTATAAAATCATGAGTGGTATATTTAAGGCGAATGGCAGACGTCTTTTCCGTAGAGTTGGGGATTTCGATTCGAGGGTACATTTTTTTCAGTTGAGAGGAGAAAGATTATAAAGATACATGAAAGGCTACTTTTTAAACACAAAAATGGTTCTTATGTGGAATGAACCTCGAGAGGAAATGTTGGAGGTGGGTACAGTTGCAACTTTCAAAAGACGTTTGAATAAATACATGAATAAGAAATGTTTGGAAGGATATCGGTCAAGTGCAGACATGTAGGAATAGTGTAGTTTGGAATTTTGTTCGGTCTGGACTGTTTGGACTCAAGGATCTGCTTCCGTGCTGTATCACCCTATGATTATCTATCTATCTATCTATCTATCTATCTATCTATCTATCTATCTATCTATCTATCTATCTATCTATCTATCTATCTATCTATCTATCTATCTATCTATC